CTTTATTCAAATGCAGCTGAGAATAGGTGAGTCTTCAACCTGGATTTAAATAAACTGAGTGTTTCAGCTGATCTGAGGCTTTCTGGGAGTTTGTTCCAGATATAGGAGCATAAAAGCTGAATGCAGCTTCTCCGTGTCTGGTTCTGACTCTGGGAACTGATAAAAGACCGGATCCAGATGACCTGAGGGATCTGGAAGGTTCATACTGGGTCAGGAGGTCACTGATGTATTTTGGTCCTAAACCATTCAGAGCTTTATAGACCAGCATCAGAACTTTAAAGTCTATCCTCTGACGGACAGGCAGCCAGTGTAAAGACCTCAGAGCTGGACTGATGTGGTCCACTTTTTTGGTCTTAGTGAGGACTCGAGCAGCAGAGTTCTGAATGAGCTGTAGTTGTCTGACTGATTTTTTAGGTAGACCTGTAAAGATGCTGTTACAGTAATCAAGCCTACTAAAGATGAATGCATGGACTAGTTTTTCCAGGTCCTGTTGAGACATCAGATCTTTTATCCTTGAATATATTTTGAGGTGATAGTAGGGCTCAAGAGTTGGGATTCGCCTTGTAATCGGAAGGTTGCCGGTTCGAGCCCCGGCTTGGACAGTCTCGGTCGTTGTGTCCTTGGGCAAGACACTTCACCCGTTGCCTACTGGTGGTGGTCAGAGGCCCGGTGGCGCCAGTGTCCGGCAGCCTCGCCTCTGTCAGTGCGCCCCAGGGTGGCTGTGGCTACAATGTAGCTTGCCATCACCAGTGTGTGTGAATGGGTGGATGACTGGATATGTAAAGCGCTTTGGGGTCCTTAGGGACTAGTAAAGCGCTATATAAATACAGGCCATTTACCATGATAGTAAGCTGATTTTGTTATTGTCTTAATGTGTTTTTCTAAGTTTAGGTCTGCATCCATCACTACACCCAAATTTCTCGCCTGGTTTGTGGTTTTTAGGTGTATAGATTGAAGTTCTCTGGTGACCTGTAATCGTTTTTCTTTGGCACCAAAGACTATTACTTCAGTTTTGTTTTTGTTTAGCTGGAGAAAATTGTGGCACAACCAGTCATTAATTTCCATGCATCCAGACTGTAAGGCTGCTCCTGGACTTGATATTTGTCTATGGATAGTTTATTTTGTTGTTCTTTATAATCTGTGCCAGTGGGAGCATGTAAATGTTAAACAGAAGGGGTCCCAAGATGGAACCTTGGGGAACTCCACATGTGATACTTGTTGCGATACAGGATAGTGAAAGTACCTATTTGAAGAAGGTGGGTAGAAAGAATAATTAAACTAGAGCAATGACATCAGTATGATGATGATGTCATGTGGAAAGTGGAAGTGTTGTACAACTAGGAGCCAAACATCCAGGAAGTAAAGAGATGATTAATTACAGTAAATTTTTAACTCACTATTACTAAATATAAAGGCTCAAGTTATCTTACTCACTGCAACATTAAGAGCAGCCTGAGACTGAGTTTATCACCAACAGTTATTTTATTTAAATGGAAAATAAATAAAGGGAGAGGGACGAGATGAGTGAAAAAATACAGAGGAGTACAAAGTGTTACATTACATTACATTACAGATATAGTGCGCATGCGCCAACCAGCGTGCAGCCTGTTACAGTCGCTCCTGCTTTTCTCTTAGTTTAGCTCTTTTTTCTTACGTATTCTTTTTTTTTTCTGACTTGTATTTTCCTCCGTTTTCCACCAAATCCACACTTTTAAAGCTTAAATTTCAAAACTTACATTTTAACTACTGATTTTATCTACTGTTTTTTTTAATAAATTTTAAATCATGCTTTTTTTTCCTTTTTTTTTATTACCTTGTTGTTGAATTGTGCTATATAAATAAACTTGCCTTGTCTTGCCTAATTCCTATTATTGCTGGAAATCCATTTTGCTAAGATGGGCCAACAGAGTTTAATCATTAAATAGCTTAACTGAATTCTGTATATCAATAAATTCCTCATAATTGTCTCTACTTATTAACCTAAAAAGTTATAGGTGCCTATGCACTTTGCAGCATGGGTCCCTGTGACAAAGGACCTAACGCACACAGTGCACAAGTCCTCTAGTACAATAAAAAGACTGGAAGTTTAGGTTGTCTATATAGCGCTCTAAAAATGAGTGGATCCTAAATAACAGGGTACAGAATTTTCCTTACTTTAAGAGATAAAGTTGCTTAATGTTAACTTACATGAACCTGAAAATATTTGCAAATACAAAAGGAACAACGAACGACTGTTCAGTTACCCTGAGCCACTCCAAGAGCTCCGAACACTCCCACCCTTGTGTCCCTCTTCCAGGAAGGGTATGTCATGTTGTAGTACTCCACAGAATCACTGGTCCAGTCACTCAACCACAGATTTTGACCGGTGAAAGCAGCGGTCTGGATGAAGTAAATCACGAAAACCATGGCAGAATATCCCCAGCCCATGGCTCGCAGGTACTGCAGGAACACTGCAAGCTTCACCTGGAAATCAGCGCGAGACGGCACTCAGGAAACAGGCTATCATTTGTTGTAATCTTGTGCTATTTGTAGAAAAACATTGTGTTACCTGTCCTGTTTCCATAGTTTCCTTCTCTATAAGCTTCTGGCCTTTCTTTGGTTCATCAGCATTTGCAGATTTTGTAGGGGAATTATTTCTTCTTAATCTGACACTAAAAATGAAAAAAAAAATGAAATGGACATTCTGCTAAAGATGGTATTTGAAACAAGCTGCTTCCCTGGTTTCATCTATAACTTGCCTGCCATTGCGCTGGCTGCGGCGGATGCTGTTTTCTTGCTCCAGTGTAAGAGAAACAGTGTCCTCCGAAGCACCGTCAGGTTGGGCATTGTCTCCATCTGGGAAGAGCTCAATGTCTTCTGCATCCTGGCCCTCACCTAAATGAACAATATACATGGTGTTTTACAAATATGGCAGTAATTTATGGTACTTGGGTCAATATGTGAACAACATCAACACAAAGTATTCATAAAAGATGACAAAAAGAAATTTATTTCATTCATATTAGTGGTATCCTGAGACCATTACCAATGCTATTATGTTCCCTTTCAGACCGTGCAATATTACCCAACAGTACCTTATTGAATATTTGTTTAATCCCCCTCATCATACGCTGCTACTCCCTTTATTCTATTGCACAATACTATGTCACTTTCTAGAATTGCCTGCACTGATAGTTAAGTTATTTATTCTCCAGGATATAGTTATATATATATTACTTCGTTAGAGTTATTTGATACTATGCCTTTCACTATCCTACTGTATATTACTGTATACTACTATTCTTATTGTATATATTGTATATCTTATTCATCTGTTCCTCTGTCTCTCCTGCTGCTTTGAGCAAGTACATGACAAAAGAATTTCCCTCGGGATAAATAAAGTTATTCTTATTCTTATATAATTTTAGCATAGGTTTTGGTTTTACAACTAACAAAACATGTAATGTGTGCAGATTATGTTGCTAATATACTAAGAAAAGGTTGTAATCACCTGTTTCTGAATTTCTCTGATTGCTCTGCTCTTTGGCATATGTGTCGAGAAACTTAGAAAAAGTTCCTCCACTGGCACGAAGGTTTTCATAGGATCCAACTTCAGAAATGACTCCATTCTCCAAAACCACTATTTCATCCACGTATGGCAGGAAGCATATGCCATGAGTCACCAGGATACGAGTCTGTATGGTCAGAGATATATGAGACTCAAGTGCATTCACCAATCTAATAAATGAAAATATTAATATTTATAAAGTATATAAACACATCTACTGTATATCTCCCAGCCTGACTTTAAAACCAGTATAAATTCACTATCAGATGAGAAGTGTTGCAAAAGCAGTAATAAAGCATATTAATTAAATTTAAAGCAGGCGCTAATAAAGTTCAAATGAGATAGTAATTAATAATAGAGTAAAGATATCCAAAGTTTAATGATTTTTAATAGACAATTTTTAGAAGAATTAAATATAAATTCAACAATAACAAAAATACTGAACTGACAGGATTTACAAAAACATTGTAATTATTAAAGAAAAAGAAAGAAAAATGAAAAATTATTAAGTTGTATTTATCAAAAAGAGAATATAATTCAGTTCACAGACTGACTTGACAATAATTAGTTTAATCATTTAAAAATCATTTATAAAGCCATGTTTCCTAGTGTTTTGGGTTTAATTTCTATTTCCAGATTATTGGTTATTAGTGGTTTTGTTCTCTTGATGTTATTTGTTATTCTGGTTTCTAGTTTAAGTCACTGTCTTCCTTGTGTTCCATGTGCCATGTTCCTTCAGTCTGTCTCTCCATGTCAAGTCCGCATCCTTGTGAATTGTCTCTTAGTTCCTGTTTTATTTTGATAGTCCCAGTCCTATGTGTCTAGTTTTGCGTCTCCTTGTCTCGTTATGTATAATGAACCCCAGCTGTGTCTCCCTCCTGTTTCTCATTCCCTGACTGCTCCTGTGTTTTCTCCTTCTTTTTACTGGTCTGTCTGTGTTCCTCCGTGCTGTTTTCTCTGCTTGTTGGTCTTTGTGCTACCTCCCAAAGGTTTCCCTTTAGGTTCTGCACATGCCATCACCACTTCTGTTTGTATTGTCATTGTGTAAATAAAGCTCACTCTCATTTAAGTCAGTGCCTGCATTTTGGGTCGTATCTCACCTCCACATGGCTTGCCTTGCTAGCCGTGACATTTTCTAACTTGTAATTCTATTTCCAAGTGGCTTTCATTCCTAAACTTTAGTTATTAGCTATTCAGTTATCTTGGTCATTTAGTGATATTTAGCCTATTGTAACCTCTACATAATGCTCTGGTCCTGGGTAAAATGATGTAAAATACTACAAATTAGACACCATGTTTTCTATGCAAGTAACAGCTGGAATATCCTGGGCAGATAGTATTTCATGTCAAAATTCATCAGAAGAAATTAAATGAGAAATGGGAAAGTTTTTTTTTTCCTTTTTCCTCCCTTTTTTCCTGTAAAATAATTATCAAATGTTTGACATATGTTTTTAAGCACAAACCTTGTTTTTAAGCATTCCATTGGGTCCAATTACATTTTCAAAAAGATGCTTTCCTACATGTGAGTCCACAGCAGACAAAGGGTCATCTAATAGATAGATATCAGCCTGACTGTAGACTGCTCTGGCTAAGCTCACACGCTGCTTTTGACCCCCTGAGAGATTGATACCCTGAGAAGAGAAGAAAGGAGGGGAAAAGAGACACACTCTTTTAGCCTTTCCTTTATAATCAGAAGAGCTCTTCTGTTTTGTTACTTTTTTTCATGTATTTGAGAAACAAATATTTTACATATGTTTACAATAAACGCCATACACAGTATTTGCATACAGGAAAAATATTTGTGTAACCAAAAACCTGAACTGTTCAAAGTGTAACTCACTTTCTCTCCAATCTCAGTGAGGTCTCCTCCAGGCAGCAGCTCAAGGTCTGGGGCAAGAGCACAGGCCTGTATGACCTTTTTGAAGTTCTCTTCCTCATGTGGAGATCCAAACAAGATATTATCCCTCAAAGTAGCATTTTGGATCCAGGCTTGCTGCGGTACAAAAGCAAGAGAACCCTGGAAAGAAATAGACTATTACTCATGTCTTATCATAAAAAACTGGCATTCACAAAATTTCATCCAGACCAAACACTACCATGCTAGATGGAAAAAAAAATCAATTCTTTTACTAGAAATGTTAGAAAACTCCACTGAACTTAGTTTATTCTGTGAGTAAAATGATTTGAGTTATTCCCTTTTCAATATGGATAAAACTGTTCTTTGAACAGGTGGCTTGCCCAGTGGATTTAGCATTGTTTTACATTGTCTTTCTAAAAAAAATGTTCACACCAAGCTGGAGTAAAGACACTTATGTAATAAAAAGACAAAAAAGAAACTGGAATTTAATTTTATGAATTAGAAAACTTGCTGAGCAAAAATTCTTATTCTTCTTTTGGCTAATTTTTTTAGGCGTTGCCACAGCAAATCCTCTGTCTCAATTTCACAAAAATTGTGCTAAAATGCCTCAATTTGTAGAAAAATATACTTCTTTATTCCGCTGTGGCTGAATTAATCTCCACCAATGCTGATGAGTTTAGACCAGATTATCAATACTGCCTTGAACGAATTAGGCTTTTGCTGTTGCTTCTATATCTTTGCTTTGTTAGTTAAAGCCTTTAATGTTTATTATTGCATTCTTAAAAAAAAAAAAATATTGTAATGTGATTGTTAAAGTCTTCTATGCTTTATTGTTTATTTTATGTGTTTGTTTTTGTTTTATTTTGCATGTTTTTTTTTAACACACACTGATAAATACAAACGGGAAAAAAGCCATTACCCTAATGTTGATAAAACCTTTGGTACTGTGCATCTCTCCAAGGAGGGCTGACATAAGAGACGACTTTCCTGACCCAACAGCTCCCACTACGGCAACCAACCGACCAGGCTCAATGTCCAAATTCACACTGGACACACATAATAACTATACTCAATGCTGTGAACACATCAGGGGCAAATAAACAGACTTGAAAAACTTAAGCAATGCTAAAAAATCCCAGTGAACATCTCACAGTTAATTAAGTTAACTAGTAACTTTTTGATGACCAACACAGACATACTCTTTCAGCAGAGGCTTTGCATCTTTTTCCCAAGCAAAGGAACCATCACATACGCTCACAGCAGTATCTAAAAAATGAACACAGACCAAGACAGAGCTTAACAGATGATCCGCACACATAAAAACTGTGACTAAGCTTCAATCTTCAGCTGTAGAACAAGTGCAAATTCTAATGGTGAACATACTGAAACTGGGGTCTTGGCGCACAATGTCACTGTCGATGTCTTCCCCTGCCAGAAACTTCTCCAGGCGCTTCTTAGACACTGCTGTCTGAAAATTCAAAGAACAGGTTAAGTTTGATGTTATCACAGGCTTGATACATGTGTGTGATGTAGCTCTGTTCACTTACTTGTACAATGGAAGCAATGAGCATGGGCAGCATGGCAAGAGGAGCTCGGAGGATGTTGAAGAGAGAGATGGAAGTAAAAGCTCTCTCAGCAGTTAACACATTATCGTTGCTCACACTAACAAATACTGCAAACGTGGCCAGAGAAACCTGCAAGTACAGACAGTTTAAGAAAAAAGGTTGTTTACCATTGGAATCTAGTCTCTGCGAAGCTCTTGACAGAACTCACCAGAGCTGGAATGCAGCATGAGGTAAGAATGGAGAAGGAGTGTAGGTAGGCAGACTTCTTCATGACTTTTAGTTCTTCCCCTCTAATGTCTTCCACCTGCTTCTGGAAGGATGGCTCCCAAGCATACAGCTTCAGAATCTGGTGGGAGACAAAAGAAAAAGACAGTGAGGAGGCAGTGAGGCAGAAGGAAGCACTTATGGTCCAAGTTACTGAATGCAGTTTCATGAAGCATCAAAGCCTTACATGTAAGGAAGGCATCTACATACACCATAGATACACTGAATAAGGGAGCTCACCTTGATCCCATTTAGAATTTCATTCATGATTTTCATTCTCTTATCTTTAAAGTTCATGTTCTCTATCTGAAAAGAGACATAATGTAGCTCATGTTAAACAGGCAATAAGACAATACTTAAAGTGTTTTGAACAGCAATTTATTCTGTGTAATTCATTTGAAAAAAAAAACCCAACTTTTTCACCAGCAAGAATCGCATGTTGAAAGTTACAGTGATCACTTTCTTCACATTATAGTTAATATAATTAAACTCCAAAGAAATTTTTGGTCAGTTTATAGAAGGGAGACTGGTCTATGAGAGCAAATCTGTATGTTGACTGTGAGACACGTGGCTGAGCCTGCATGCTGCGTCACTCAATTGTCTATCTACTTTTGAGCCTCTGAAAGAGGGGGACTGTATCAAAATCTATTAAACAGTCAATGCAATACTTTAGTTAAACATCTTGAATAAAACTTATTCAATTTATTGTGTGAACTATTTACAGCACTGTAAATAAACGCACTGTTCATCATAAAGAGTCCAGCGTTTGGGTCCTCATTCCTCACATCCCGACGGCCTGCCATGCAGACCATGACATAAACAATCAATCCAATACTGTAGTTAAACATTTTGAATAAAAAATTACAATTTGCAGTTTAATCTCATCTTGATTATTTGATTTAGAATCTCGCACAGAGGTTTACAGAAGCAAAGAAGATTTGGCTAGTATTTCCCCTGACCTGGAGTTTTCTGGCCTTGGTTGCTAGCACTGCATTGGTTGGAATTATTAACACCATGACTCCCAGTCCTGCCAACACAGAAGGTCCTAACTCCAGCCACAGGAAAACAATGGATATGATGATCTGCAGAGGGCAGGACCACAGCAGGTGGATAAAGTTGGTCACATCATTGAAGCGCTGGGCATCTGCTGACATCAGGTTCACCATTTCCCCTACTGTTGACTCCTTACGAGTGTCATTGGACACCACTAATGCCTTAGAAAAGGGATAAAAAGGGCAAATTAATTAGAAAGTGGGGTGAAAATTAAGTAAGAGAAGCATATAAGTGATATTTTTTCTTACTCTGTATGTCACTTAAAAAAAACCTCCATAACCCTATATATTGAAAAAAGCAAAGCTGACTTTCTTTTAGAAATAATGTAAATAGTTTTTGATGTCTCAGGAGTATTTTCTTCATTTCCTGATTTCCAAGATTTGGTAAAACTTAATAAAACTTCATAAAAACAAAAATTATGTATTCTGATTGGCTATACAATCAGGGTCTTCACCAGTAGTGACTGAGAGCTCACAAAATTAATCATTAAGATCAATAGTAAAAGTATTGATGGAAACTAGAGCTATAGACTAACACAGGTTTTTTCTGTGACAAGTATGTGCTGATAAAAGTACTTTAAAACTGAAACATCTGACAACTGACTTAAGCAGAAAATCATGACTAGTAATTTTTTTCTTCTAATGTGTAACAGTGATTTATATTACACAGCATTTGATTTTTTTTTTCACACCAATGTCAATAAATGGTGTTCTGTCATGCTTGTTTTTACCTTTTTATACACAGCAGCCATAAGTGCAGTGCGAACCTTCATCCCCAGCACATGGCAGCGCTGGAAATACTGCTGTAGGGTCAGAGACTGTAGCAGAGCCACCACCATCAGCAACACTGCATACAAATAGCCCTCCCAGGCATATCTGGATTTGTCCTGAGTGAAGGAGATCATCAATCTAGGAAAAACAGAAAAAAAGAAGAAAACATGCTAATCTCCAGCTTCATCTTTAGCACTTATCTAACAATGTCCTCATTTCATCCTGCCACTCCTGTTATCGGTTATGAATCACCAGTGTCGAGACATGAGGGACAGAGAAAATTTTAATGCCCCCTGTCTTTCTTCTCAACATATCTGAGAGAGGGTGAAAAGGTTTAACATCCAATTTTTGTAATGTGATATATAGTTTTAATCTTTATTTTAATCTTCATTTTTTATCTTTCTTTATTTTTGACAAAAGATAAATCATAATATAAGTTTGATCAATATGTTAAATGAGAAATGTAGTTTGAGTAGTGTAAGAGTCTAGATTTTTTGTGTGTAGACATGATCTGGCTTGGATCTTGTAGCAATATAACAGTTAAACCCAGAATCAGAATTCATATGTGATTTAGCTGTTAGTTAATAGTGATAGTTAATTGCTGAAAGGAGAGAGAAGGGGAGGCAAATGGGACTTGGTAGAGTATAAAAGAGAGCGCCCAGAATAACCTTTTAACCCGTTGTGAAACAGTACAGGTAAAAATCTGAGTATTGACCCATTTTAATGTAAATAGCTCTTACAGGTTACTTCAGCCATTTACACATAACATACAGTTGAGGCCTACTGTCAAACCCCCTAAAGCTAATCCACTTAAATACCAAGTGCACCAGGGGGGAGCCGCTGTAACTATGTGCCTGATGGAGACCAGAACTGCAAGGCTACTCGGGTCCCCGGATTTTATCAGATAAGCAGGAAAAACATACAGACGATTTTGAGACCATTAAAGCTGGGCGAGCCCCCTGAGCCACATCAGCCCCATCTGAACTCTGCATTGCCTGCTGGGTAATACTCATCCAGCGATTAGAACTTCTTAAACAGAGAGCTGACCCAGACTTCCTGTATTGGGATACTGGTCCCACAGATTGGCAATAGTAAATAGTTAACACAAAGGATTTTAAACGGTAATAGCAAGTAAATCTAAAAACAACAAACTTAAGAGAGAACAAAATGTTTGTTTTTTTTATGTTTACCTAAATATGGTAAAACTGTTACATCTGTAACAGGTAATTGCATAAATTCCTTTAAGTGATATAATTGTCTTATTGAAAAATATGCATCAGAAAACCTTCACAGACATACATCAGAAGGTCAGAAAAGTGAACTATTAAGAGACCATTGTAGTCCACTGCAGGGTACAACACAGCTAAGTTCCTAGTTTAAGTCCAGCGACATTGTACAAGCACAACATTGTTCTTCTCTTAAATCTGTTGTTTTATTTCTGTAACGTTCTGTAATATCTTACTCACTTAAGGAGCTGAGGACTGACAAAGGTTAACACATCCTCCAGAAGTTTGAAGCAGAAAGATTCAATCAGAATCCTTTTAAAGGTCTTGTAAATGGTGGTAATCAGCCATGAATTGGGATAGTTCTCTTCCTCCTTATTGTCCTTTTTCTTCTTTTCATCTTCCTTCTTCCCCCTTTCCTCCTAAAGGAACAGATCGTTCAAGCACAGTTGATGAGATTTATTCAGAAAAAAACATAGTGATGTTGATTAGTGGTGTTAATGAAATGTGTTTGGACTGTAGCTCAATATTGTGTACATGTGAGTGGAAGTGATTTTGATGAAATGCTCTCACCATCATTAGTACATCCTAACTCACCCCTTTCCCCAGACCACTGGAAAGCCCATTTTGCTGTGGGTCTTCCTGGGCACTGTGTATGTTCTGAAACAATTTCTTTTTCATCTTGTTCTGGAAGCGGACCCTAGCTGCATCCAACTCAGGCTTCATGAAATGCTGGAAACGCTCATTGATGAAAGCAGTGCTATCACTCTCATTCAGATCCCACATGTCCTCCTGAACCAGAGGTTGTTTGTAGCCTTTTAAGACCATACTGTAAAAACAATGAGAACTTTGAAGACATGGAGCACATATGTAGGTGCTTGTTAAGATTCCGACTATAGTGACCTTAATGTTACCTGTTTAACCAGTTGAATGTTATTCTACTCAAAAATGGTGCACCTGCTTCAGGATTCTGTGGATAAAAACAAGGTTCAATCTATCTTATTTAATCTATGCTTATAAAACTTCACCCTCGGAAAACAAACAAACAAAACCAATAACAAATAAAGGGTACCTTTTTTATAAGTCTTTAGCTTCTGGGGGGATATCAGCCACAGTAGAAAGAACTAATGAAATCAGTTCAAGCCCAAAAGAAATGTAGAAAAGGCTGAAACGTGGGACATCACGGACCTCGCCCTAAATACCAAAAATGAGAGAAAGAAATACTTAAAGGGTCCCGAAGAAACAGAAAACGGTGTGTTATGGAAAACATAGAGTCAATCATATCAAGTTATTGCATCATGTCTGAGTAAATCTACTATTTGTCTTCTACTTTAATCCAACTTGATCAAATGTCTTCACTCATACCAGTCTGAGAGCCTCTCGTAGGAGGGTCTGGAAAGGAAAGATGTCACACACTACAAGGAGCAACCAGAAGAGGAAAATAGAGGCAGAGTCTATTGCTCCTTCCCATCTTAATCCTTCATGGCAAAGCAGGACAAGGATCTAACAAAGAAGACACATCAGAACATAAAAACAAATCCTTTCAAATTTAAATAAATAAATATAAAGGTTGCTCTATTTACCCATGTGACTGCAAATAAAACTGGATTTGCGTAGTATGCAGCAGCATTTTTTGAAGATTGGTCACTGTTTGGACCAAAATCTTCGCCTAGTGTGACTCCCAGGTGTGCTATGGCCGTCATGAACAACAGAGACGCCACAAGCTGAGGAAAGAAAACACAGACCAGACATGAGAATAAATCATGTTATTCTATTAAAAAATTGCATTAACCTCCTAGGACCCGGCGTCCACATATGTGGACATCACATTTTGTTTTGTCTAGACCAAAATACTAAATTTTGCTCTACAATGGCCTGATATCCACCTACGAGGACATTATACTGCCACTGTTCTATCGAAATTTAAAACAAACATCCTCATATGTGGATCTCATTTATCTTAGAAACAAAAATCAGGTAAAAATAAATAAATAAATAAAAATCTGGTAATTCTTTGTTTTTACATTCATCAGGTGCCAATCAGCCCAAATAGCAAAGAGAAATTAAAAGTGCATGACATGAAAGAGTTCGGGTCTTAGGAAGTTAAAGGACTGTTATTAGTTGGAGTTCATGTACTGTTATTCCATATGTAATGCAAAAGATTCTATAATACCCTTAAAAACATACTTAAACTAGTTGAACTAAGTAAAACAGTGATTGAAATTCTCATTAGATTATTGACAATTTACTGTTTATTTTTGATTATATCAACTGTAAAATGGATTTTTATATGTATCTGAATATAAAGTTAATTGAGTCACCTTTTTGTTGTATTGTAATTGCAATACTCTCACTCACAGTATAACAAGCTGCAACTGCACTATGTGAATGTATACCTTGGGAAGACTGTCCGAATTTGACATTTGCCACGTTTGGAGTAAAATGCCAATGGAAGAGACAGTGGCAATACACAGGAAAAAGCTGAAGAGAACTGAGTGCCACTGGACTGCTGCAAGGTTGGGGAGAGGAGACCACAGGAGGGGGAGGACACATGGAGGAACACTGTTGTTTTAGTGTGGGAAATGAAATTGGGTTAAGGAGCCTGGAGAGAAAAAACAACTGCCTTGGAGTGTAGAATTGAGAAAGTTTCTGGAGCACCGCAAAGAGGAGAGGTACACAAAAATGACAAAAATAAGTATAAATGCATTAATCCTACTAACACAGACACACATGCAATAAAGCTCATGAAGATCAGATAGTATTTTAAGCATGCGTTTCTGTTATTATCATCTTGTCCGGTTCACTTAGTGGGATGAGAAGTGATATATAAACTAGCAGACTATTATTATATTCAATTCAATTCAATTCAATTTTATTTATATAGCGCCAAATCACAACAAAAGTCGCCTCAAGGTGCTTCATAGATACAGAGAAAAACCCAACAATCATATGACCCCCTATGAGCAAGCACTTTGGCGACAGTGGGAAGGAAAAACTCCCTTTTAACAGGAAGAAACCTCCGGCAGAACCAGGCTCAGGGAGGGGCGGCCATCTGCTGCGACCGTTTGGGGTGAGAGAAGGAAGACAGGATAAAGACATGCTGTGGAAGAGAGACAGAGGTTAATAACAGATATGATTCAATGCAGAGAGGTCTGTTAATACATAGTGAGTGAGAAAGGTGACTGGAAAGGAAAAACTCAATGCATCATGGGAATCCCCCATCTATTGTAGCATAACTAAGGGAGGATTCAGGGTCACCTGGTCCAGCCCTAACTATATGCTTTAGCACAAAGGAAAGTTTTAAGCCTAATCTTAAAAGTAGAGATAGTGTCTGTCTCCCGAATCCAAACTGGAAGCTGGTTCCACAGAAGAGGGGCCTGAAAACTGAAGGCTCTCCTTCCCATTCTACTTTTAAATGCTCTAGGAACAACATATGTTGGGGAAAGATGATTGAACTGAGTTGAACAGAATGCTGTAGAGGGCTTAAATAAGTAAGTGCCAACTCTAATAGATTATTGAGTTTCTTGTTCCTGATGTGTGGGGGATGTTTTACCATGGCACACCTGGTTACATGGGAAGAGACTCAATATCTAATAGACAATTAATGTTGTGTGAAGTGTGTGGCTGGTGGATGAAAGTGTTTTGAAATTCTAACTTCTAAATTTAGAATTCATCATTCTAAATTCTCCTTTTTCCTTTTGAAATGATGTCATATTGCTGAAACTTAAGTATGCGGCACAAGAAGTTCTGCTATCAGCAATAAACATGAGGAGACTGACTGGACTGACAGTGGACAAATGTCCTCAAGATTGCACCTACTCCACCCAGACAGTGGGGGAAAAGGTGGATGTATGTATGTTTTTGTGTTTGGTTTTTTTTACAGGAGCAGGAAGATGACAGCGCCATACTAGGGTCGCATGAGCTTGTGGGCCATGCAGACTTAACTTTTCAGTTGCCAAATTCTGTGTGTACTTACCAGCAGTGTGTTATTCATGACATCATATTTACAATGCAAAGGTCACTGTGAGAAAGTGTGCAAACAGATGATGAAATGCACTGTGCTAACATCCATGTCACTTTTTCCACAGCAGATGGTTAATCATATGATTTAATCACATGATTTACAGCAGGACACACCACTGGATAATGTTTTTTTAACATAGGGATACAGGCCTGGAGCAGATCTACTCCAGGGGAGAAGCCCTGGAATTTTTTAAAGAGACAATGCACATATCTTCTTGTGCTTCTCTAATTGTGTTAAATTGACACATGGCAAGGAACATATGGCAAAAGAGGGTTTCTGGGGTAGTTTTCATTTTAAAATTACAGGTGCAGTGTTACGGAAGGAAATCATCCAAAAGGCACATCCAAAGTCAAAGTGAGAAGTAGGGACCATTTCCAACACAGCTGACAACAAGAGTATTTAAACGAGTGGTGTTTGATAGTGCATATTTTGGTATCGATCCAATACCAAGTAAATAGGGGCCAATATCGCTGATACCGATATCGATACCGATACTGATATCGGTACTTTTAAATAAAGAAGGTGGATGCGTCATTGAATTGCTAAATCTCAATTAATTTTCATGACCTTAAGTGTTCCCAGGGCATAATTAGGACAAATTTTATAATTAAATAGAAAATGCTTATCGAAAATGAATATGATCAATGTTTTTTCTAGAAAAATCTTAAGTAAAAAGTGCAAACCAGTAAACAAACTAAAACAAACAAGTGCTGTTGAGAAACTATACAACAAAAATTACAATTAAAATTCTCAACAACAACAACAAGAACTGGTAAAAAATATAAATGATATGTAAACAACTTAACAAGACCCAATGCATCTAAGTCACGTCATGTGACGGCGCAACATTTAAACACAAAAGGGGAGCAATGTGTGTCTGCTCTGCGCTGATACAGGTGTGGCGAGTCTGGTGACCTGGCTGTTTCATCTTTGCCGAAACCACAGCATTGCAAACGAGAGTGGAACGTAAAGTAAAGAATCAATCTCACCACGCTAGTAACGATCCGATACCGACTTGGTATCGATACTTGGATCGATCCGCCCACAACTCAGGGCTGTGCTGGGTTCGGGAGAGGCTCTGTCGGTCGTTTGCCCTGTGATGGCTGCTCTCATCAAGCTTGGTTTTGTTGGTTTTTATTGAAGAATGTTAGCTACTGCTCACCGTTTGTCTGCAGGTTTTATTATAACTTTTTGGTAGAGTCCCTTTCAAAACTGGTATCACTGGATGGTACAGCCATTCCATTCAAGTTGGATAGATAGTCCAGCGCAAAGGCGCAGTCTGTACAGTGAGTCATATATGTACTGATTGTGTATTTCATTGTGTAGCTTTTTTTCTGCATTTGTGCATTTGTGAACTAGCATGAAGTGTGGAAAGAGGGGAATGTTAATGCAATACTGAGAAACCTTTAGTGAAAACTAATCTTCAGTTAGGATGATTACAGTCCATAGGGGGGAAATTTAACAGCAAAAAGCTTTTTCAGAGAACTTGGAGCTCATGAAAGCAGGTTAACAAATGACCTGACAAAGAACAAAGGAATTAGGTTATAAAAACCACACATAAGAATTAAGGGAAGCAGATATAGCTGGAGAAAAAGGCACAGCTTAAAAAGAAAGCAAAACTAATTGCAAGATACAGGAGACGAATGACTAACGTAAAAAACACAGGGAATGAGAAACAATAATTTGAAACGGGGAGACAAGAACTTTACAGAATGAAGAACACTGAATGAGCACATTGAGGAAACACTGAAGGAAAATGTTAAAGTTCTACAATCAGGACTACGGTAACTTTGTACTTTCCATATAGTTCGATGACTTTTTAGGATTTTCACCGAAACACCACAACTATAACAATTTCAGAATTTCCTTAAAAAGTTCAGAAAGCTTATTCAAACTCACATTTTTACAATACCCTTTGACACCAACAAGTCTGTGACAGGAGAGCGATGGAACCGCCCACATCTTAATGCTTTTAAACACTTATTTACGCTTGGTTGCTGTACACATCTACACACACCAACAACAATATCCTTCAGGACCTTGTTCGCCCTTATAGGCAGGGGAGGCGTGACAAACTAATGCAGCTCAGGTGTGTCAGCCTCACCACAGCCATGCAACGAACCACGCCGGCTGCTTGTCCAGTGGCAACAGTGAAACTGGTCTTCTCGACCGCATGGCAAGCGATGGTGGCGCACCACAGGCTTGGTCATGAGCCTGGGCTCACAGGCAGCTGGGCAGGCAGCTGACGCGCGCAGGACCACATCAGGAGAGCAGGAACACTGCCCCTGCCAGGCACCAGCCGCTCTCACCCGAGGAGTGGGGACAGATCCCAACAGTTTTGACCAATTGAAAGCACAAATTGATATATAATTCTCTGTAATGTTAAGGGAAGGTAAGTCTCTTTCAGGAAGTTGGTTACAGCTAACTGCTTGCAGACTGTGTTTTTCTGAATGAAAGAGATCCATGTACATGCTTATGGTTTGAACTGCTTGAGGCAATAAATGATTAGAAACTTGGATTCAGACTACATCCTTCTTTTACCCAAGATAAAAAGAATGCGCAACAAATGCTTCCATTAAAACACAACAAATGTGTTAACTGACAACAAATCCATGTGAAAGTACATAAACTACTTTTAATGTCATTTTGTCATTTTATACTGTGATTTTATTGTAATTTGATTCATATTTTATGTATTTAAAAATAACAGAAATTCTGTTTTTCCTGTAAATTCTGTAAAGCTTTACAGTAAAACATTTTTTTACAGTATACAGTTAACATTTGAAACTAGAAGACAGCTACCTAAGCTATGAACTGAAACAACAATTCTTTATGAAGATGTCTTTATTAGATGGTATTTCTTACCTGTTTGCAGATGTAGAGCTTGGACAGTTGTTTTGTGTTTACATTTGCACTCTGACAGAGAGCCAGCAGGTGCCATGGGGCACAGAGCCACAGGAAACAAAGGGGGATCCATACAAGAACTGTCTGTTCCACACATAGTGGAAGGTCTGGGTCTGGTCGCTTCAGATATGAAGCATTCTGAAGGACACATACAAACAAACACTATAATAACAAAGTCCTGCTGCCCTTCCAAGGGAACCATAAAGTGCAACTGATTAAGTCTCTGAAACCAGAACGTTAATCATCTTCTTTTCTGCATATTTGGAAGATGTCTTTCATAGTTGCTGTGACAAATAGAAATCATGACCTTCTTGTTTGTCTAATCTGTGTTGAACGGGTTGACACAATAACATGAACAGCTTTTTACCCTTTTTACACTTGCCTTAAACCTTTTGTCTCCAAAGTATAGGAAAAAAAGATCTTCAAAAAGACCACCACAAACTTCAATACCAACTTCAACATCAACATGTCCCTGACATGGTATTATAAGGTGTTATATGTCTGTTTGCTGTCATTCTCAACATACCTTCCAGACAATTTACTTTGTATGTTACTAGTCTGATATGTTTGTTTGAATTAATTCTTCAGTCTTTCTGCTTGTTTAACTCACCCAAAAAATGGACCCACAGTACTCCTCCAGAGCTGCCGCACACATGCTTTACAGTGATGGCTTCAGTCAACCTCAGCTGATCAGACAAGCCGACGCCTCTCACCCTCTGCCCCACTACTGCCGTGTTTTACTCAAATACTGCTGCTTTCTCCTCTCCCACAGTTCACTGACAATTGTAGGATGTGGCTGTAAGGGACTTTGATCCATGAGGGTTTTTAAGCAGAAAAAAAAGTTGCTTATTCCCTCTACAGAGAAACGACATTTAATACAACAGAGAGGTGCTGGATTAGCGAAGAGAATACAAGATTCGAATCTGTGCCTGGTTTCTACAAAAAGTACACTACAGGCTTTCTAGTGAGTCACTGAAAACATTCAACCGATAAAGCAAAATCATTTACAGAATCAAGGTTTGTAATTCGCGCAAATAAGCTCCTGAGAGAGGAAAAAAAAAGTGAAGGACTTGCATAAGTCTCAGTTATGTAAGACTTTTCCCCCTAACACACTTTTTACTGTGTTAGAGGGAAAACTTACTGAAAAAGGGAAGGGGAGGGAGCATTTAGGGATTTGGAGGGAGTGGGGTCATTAGATCCCTTTTCATGTTATTTTCTACATAAATATTTTAAAACAGTAAGGTTTTGAAAAGTACTCTAGTTCCACTTTGTCATAAGTACACATACAGTTGTGGTGAAAAACATTCATATCAATGATGAGTTTATGTATGTCATTGTAATTTTTCAAAAAAAACACCACAAACTTCAATACCAACTTCAACATCAACATGTCCCTGACATGGTATTATGAGGTGATATTATGTCTGTTTGTTGTCATTCTCAACATACCTTCCAGACAAATTACTGTATGTACTGTATGTTACTAGTCTGATATGTTTGTTTGAATTTACCTTAATTCTTCAGTCTCATAAGTCTCAGTTATGTAAGACTTTTCCCCTAACACACTTTTTACTTTTTGTCTTTTAATGATTTCTTTGAAGTCATCGTTTTCCAGGATGGAATGATTGTACAGCACACATACTGAGTACATGTCCACTAATATTTGGTCAAACGTCCCTTTGTAAGTTACACCTCAGGGTGACATTTTTGGTTGCTGTCAACAAGATTCTGGAGTAATTATGGCTGGATATTTGACCATCTTCTGGACAGAATTGGTAGAGTTCAAATCAGTGAGTTTCCTAGCATCGACCCGGTTTTAAGTGTAATCCACAAATTTTCAGTAAGGTTGAGGTTAGGGTTGGGAAGACCATTCCCGAAGCCTAATATTAGCCTGTTTTATCCATTCCAAAGCCAGTTTTAACAGATGGATGTAAATGGATGCAGAGGCCTGATCAGTATTAATTGATTTCATTATTTGATTTTTTTAGTTCCTGGATATACACATGTTTGTGGGAACCTGATCTTACACAGGCAAGATGTTTGCATGTTGCTGTCATATAAAAATACAAATAAGTGCACAATCATAAACTGATAACATTGTGTCAAAAAAAGAGTGTTATTTTTAATTAAAACCAGTTAAGCATGATTTCAGAAATAAATTTTATTTTTCACACATAAAATGTGTTACATATACAATATGTTTTCCCTATGTTTTTCCCTATAAATACAATACATATGTCAGTGTTTCTTTACATAAAAGTAAAATCCAGTCTTCACAATGTGACCTACAAATAAAACACATACACAGAAAATTGTGGCCGTAAATCTTCCCTAAAAAAAACAGTATAAGTAGAGATTATAAATTTGTGTTGCTTTCTAATGTTATCCCAGCATCTTTTGCCATGGCGTAGAAATGACCTTCCTTTTCAAGCAGGTTGCTCGGCGAATCAAATTCCACTACTTTTCCAGCATCAAGCACCATTACCCTGTTGGAAAGAAGCACAGGATTTAATAGTAGCCCACTGAGAAAAAAACATTGTCATGTATTCCAAAAATTTCATCCAAAAATGTTAAGGGAAAAGGTATAACTCACCTAGAGCTGTCCATGATACTGTGCAGGCGGTGGGCGATGGTAAGGACTGTGCAGTCTGAGAACTCTTTGCGGATGGTGTTCTGAATCAGGTTGTCTGTCTCCAGGTCAACAGCTGCCGTGGCTTCATCCAGAATTAGGATACGTGACTTTCTCAGGAGAGCTCGAGCCAGACACAGCAGCTGCCTCTGCCCAACACTGGAAAGATTGTATTAAAGTATTGATATCTCAAGAGGGTTTATGCAAAAAGCACACAAGGAACTCATGTGTATATGAAAGTTTATGCATGCATGTTTTTTTGAAAATTGCATTAGGTTTAGACTAATGAAGTGTGGAAAAGGTATACATCTAAAGAATTTTGCAGCTTATGTGCCAACATTCCCTAGGTTTGAGTTTGAAGTCATCATCATTTTCAAATGACCACAGAGGCCGTATTGTTAATTTTATTACCCACCTGAGGTTTTCTCCTCCCTCTGCCACTTCATGCTGTAACCCTTCCTGCAGCCCTGATACATAGCTCTTTAGATGAGAGAGCTCCAGCGCTCTCCAAATCTCCTCATCGCTGAACTTGTCAAATGGATCCAGGTTCATCCTCAGTGACCCCGAGAACAAAACGGGATCCTGTGCACACGGGATTAAAAATGTCAGTGTATTTTTTTAATAATATACTTAATTCTTTGACAAGGTTATTGTCTATATTGATGTGTATACCTGTGGTATAATCGTGAGTCTGTTTCTCAGGTCATGCAGGCCTATTTTAGAGATATCTACATCATCAATGCGGATGCAACCTTCAGCAGCTTCAATAATTCTAAACAGGCAGTTGGTAAGACTTGATTTCCCAGCTCCTGTGCGACCGACAATACCGATCTGAATGCAGTGAGAGAAAACACATAAGATCAAAATAACAGCTGGCACATATTTGAAAAAAGTTTTCATAAACTGTTGTCACAACAGGTAAAGAAAAGGCATTAAACAATGCTGACTGTAGATAATTCCACAACATAAGGAGCTATATCTTGTTCTTTTATATGTTGTTGCAATACAGACTGTCTTTTCTAATGTGTACTTTGACTTCACTGTATTCAGGGTGTTCACATTGTGTTCATTTCACATTATCAGTATGTCATTTGACATTTTATCCTAAAGATAGGCTAGTTACATATTTGGATATCACAGTTGTTTATAGTATAGAGTGATGTACAACTAAAGACACAAGCTGACAGTTTACATTATTTTTTACTGTTTGTTTAAAATCAATTATTGTCATTACTGTTTGTTCTGTGACTTTTTTTTTTTTTTGAGTAAACAATTAACAGACTGGACTGTAAAACATCAAAAAAACTAAAGTACAGAATGTCAGTGCTTTATAGGACAAAGTTACATTAATATACAAATTATTTTTTTTCTAAACTCAACTAAAAATAAACTTAAAGTCTACCATCTGTAAGCTACACTTGAGAAACCGTTATTATTTTAGAAGCTAGTGATAGAGGAAAAAAACAAAGCTATAATTTAAGCAACCTCCATGCAAAAAACAAGAATTTTTATAGTATTTGAATCTGTATCTCGTGTGAAAAACATATTAGATATTGTTTTCTATATCTTGATCTATTTGATCTACGAGGTTACTCTGTAAATCATTAACATATTAATAAATCCTGCATGAACTTTATACATGCATGCTCTCTCTCTTTCACTTTGTCTCTCTTTCAGATACACACACACACAAACACGTACCTTCTCAGTGCTGTCGATGTCACAAGTGATTCCATGCAGCACTAAATCCAATTCGGGTCTGTAACGCACTTTGTAGTTCTCAAATTTCACTCTTCCTGCCTCTGGCCACTGCTGTGGGGGCCGAGTGTCAGTTACCCAGTCAGCCTGTAACAACAAACACAAACAGAATAAATGAATCTTAGCTAGTCTTGATAACGTCTGCATAATAATGCAGACGTTATCAAGACTAGCTAAGATAACCACTAGAATATATCTTTTCTTAAATTGAAGCACTCACATATACATACAAAGATATTATAGTAATATCAAAACCTACATAAACATGCATTAAGCAACAAAATTTCAACATTATAGTTGTATTTGAATTGCTACGTATTTAAACACTTATAACCTGTTATTGTAATGTACATAAGAATGTCATAATAAAACAAATGTTGCCAATACAAACAAAGTCAAATTTCTAACATAGTTTATTTAAATATATATGGCATGTTATATAAGTCTGACCTATTAAAAGATTGTCATTATTTGACCTTGAAGAAGAGATCCAGAGTAACTTGATATTTAGAGTCCCCATTATTCATTCCCTATATATCTAAATGTTGTCAGCACAATCAATGGCAGTAGCTGTAGTGTTTATATGGTAGTATTATATGTTGACCATAGACACCAAAGATTCTAAGGCTTTTTGTCCATTTTCAACCAATAAATCATTGAGTTGTCCTTGAAGACCCTGGTGGCCGTAAGCCATATTTGAGTGGATTGTTAACATGATCCCACTGTAAACTCAAACAACAAAGTTCATCTAATAAAATTCAGTCAAAAACTTTCCAGCTGTCATGTTTACAGACAGAACGGCAAGCATGTAAATGCTACAAAAACACATAACCTCTTTGGCGAAGGTAACAATGTGTCACTACTCAAGATCAGCAGCTAAAGCCCAGTGTACGTGTACGATATTGTACTAAATTGTATTATTATTATTATTATGTTTTTATCCCAGTTGCATTGTGGTGCTTACAATCAACTAACAGCCTGAAGGAATCTTGAAATTCATGCCTTATTAAGATAACAGTAGAGTTTCATCTAATAAAGAGAATTGTCATTAAAAATCTTCTACATACCTCATTCTCAAGCTCAGTGTATTCACTCACTCTCTCCACAGCTACAATATTGGTCTCCAGCTCTGAGGTCATCCTAACCAACCAGTTGAGGGTCTGGGTTACCTGCAGAACAGTGTAGAATAGACGTCAGTGTTTACATTATTGCTGGATTTTAGTATTACCAAATACATAAACAGTGATGAAATAATGATAAAGGTATGAGTGTTTTAATGGCTCACATTAAGGGCATATGATATAGACAAGCCAACCAGGCCACTGTCAATAGAATCTCTGGAAATGACAGCAAACAGAGCAGAAAAAAACACCACCAGGTTTCCAACAAATTCCAGACGTATGGCCAGCCATCTGTTGAGTAAACAAGTGAGTGAAATGTCTAACAGTGAAATGTTAGGGTCAGTTTTATGAGCAATTTACATCACGTGCTTCTCTGTGTTTGCAGGTACACCGTTGAATATCTGACCTGTTAGACACAATCCACGGGTAGACGCTTTTGAGGTTTTCATCTATAGTTACTTCATTGTGTTTAAGAAACCTTTCTTGATGCTTGTAGGCTCTTATCACTGACAGGCCAGACACCGTCTCACCAAAGT